TGTTATTAATTTTTCTTCGGATTTTGGCATTCGCTCCCTCTCGGATTTCCGACGGCCCAAGAATGCCCAAGAGGCCCCCGAAATCGCCCCCGCAGCGCCCGAGAGGCCTCCAAGATGGCTTCAGGCCCCAAGAGGGCGCAAAGACGACCCAAGGGGCTTCCAAGACGCCCAAGGTGGCCTCTAAGACGGCCCCAGAGCACCCCAACAGGGCCCCAAAGTATTCGGCCCACCGATGGCCCGATGCGGCACAAGAGCCCCCAAAGATCGCCCAGAGATCGCCCGAGAGACCTCCAAGATGGCCCCAGAACGGCCCAAGAGGCCCCCAAGACGGCCCCGAGAGGCCCCTAAGACGGCCCAGGAGGCTTTGAAAACGTCCAAAATGGCGTCCAAGACGGCCCTGGAGCATTCCAAGATTGCCCCAAGTCGGCTCAGAGAGGCCCCCCAAACGGCTTCCGACGGCGTCGGGCGGGCCAGGGGCCGCCGAGACGGTTGAACATGGAGTTAATATGGCCCACGACGGCCCGAGAGGCCTCCAAGAGGGCCTCCAGGAAGGCCCGAAAATGCCAACGTCATTGATTTCCCATGAGTTTCTGAAGGACTGTGGCATTTGTTTTTTTTCCGGCCTTCGGACGGCCCGAGACGGCCCGAGTGCCCCCGAAGATCGCCCAAGAGGCACCCGAGACGGCCCAGGAGGCCTCCAAGACGCTCAAGATGGCCTCCAATACGGCCCAAGAGCCCTCCCAGACGTCCTCCAAGAAGGCCCCAAAGGGTCAAAATGGCCTCCGGGCGGGCAAGATGACCTTCAAGATGCCCACGTATTCCCCGAAGGCTTTCTAGACCGATTCGGGGAACACGTGGTCCGATAGCTTGGCAGTTCTGGCCTCAGCGTTCGGCCGCATAGGCGCTTCCAGAAAGGCAGGCGGCGGCGTTGATTCGCCGTGGGCGGCTTCGATGATGATGCGCCCCCCCCGGGTGGAATCTCTTGTGGCCGAGCCCCCCGTGCGCAGTCAGCTCGCTGAAAGAAGGGGGCGCCCCTGTCTCGGGGAGGGGCCTTCTCCCCGGGCCAGCGTCGGGGGGCCCCGCTCGTGGCCGGTGCTCGCAGTGGCCTGAGATCCCCTTCGTTCCTTCTTGGAGGTTTCTTCTGGCAAGGCGCCCGTTGCGACTGTGCCCCCGCTTCCCCCCCCATCCTCTCCGCCCGTCTTCCTCGGCCCCCCCCCTCCGCCCTCGTCAGCCCTCGTCCCGACGGCGCCCAATGGCCAAGCAGGATGGGCCCAGGGATATATATAGGAAAGAAATCAGGGTGACAAAATGGAGTATGAGAATCAAGACAAAGAGAGATATGGAAAGAGAGAGAGAGAGAGGTAGAGAGAGATATATATAGAGAGAGAGAGAGAGAGGGAGAGAGAGAGAGGGAGGGGGAGAGAGAGGGAGGGAGAGAGAGACAGCGGGAGAGAGAGAGAAATACAGAAAGAGAGAGAGGGGGAGATTGGGATAAGAGAGGAACATGAATGACTATTTCGGCTGCAACCCCACCTGGTTTGACATCCGTCGCGGCAGCCTCGCCCCAAACAGCAAGCAACGCATCGATCGACATCCGCGCAGCCAGAGCTCGAACCAGGTCCCTAGAGGCCATATCGCGTCGTTTCCCGCCGTGCTGAGCGAGCGGCACGCGCCGCGCCTCGAGGATCTCGAGATCCAAACCTCGGGGATCGAGTTGGCTTGGGCCTCGGGGGCCCCCGTGCGAGGTCGCCGCGGCGGGACGCGGCGTGAGGAACTGGCGCGCTTGGACGAGTCGAGGGGCCCCAGGGGCCTGTCTTGAACGGGTTTCAAGATGGGGGGAGAAGGAGGGCGGGGGGAGGAGAAAGAGAGGCCGCGCCCCGGGAGGATTTGCTTGCGGCCACGCGGGAACTGGAGGATCCGACCTAGCAGGAGGATTGGATCCGACCTAAACGGCAGAGGTGGAGAACAACTGGAAAGAGAGGGGGGGCGAGAGAGAGAAAGAGAGAGAGAGAGACTGCAGCTGCGCACGCGAGAGACAGTAACATATGCTATGCAGATTATGTTTTGCTGCGCTTTGATATCCAGCCGTGGCCTCTGGTGGCAAAAACATGACGTTCAAAAGCCACCGAACACATTTCAACAACAATCGAATCCAATTGCCATTCGCATCTGTTATCGTAGTCGATATGCAACACCTCCTAGTTTGTTCTGGCATGCTATATTGCGCATTGTTTTTGTTCTGCTCACCGTGCTACGTTACGATATGTGAAATACCGTCATCACCATCATCACCATCAGCATGATATCATCATCATCACCGTCATTATCATCAGCGTTATCATCGCCATCCTGTGCACAGTCAAAAAAGCTGTGCTGCGCGATGCTGTCACACAAAGGCTGTGCTAAAAAGCCACTTCCAAAACGGCGGTGGAAACTCCTAAAATGATGAAGGCTGCTGATATGCAACCTGCGTCGTCGTCATCGTCGTCAACATCCTCGCCATTCTCTTCCTCCTTCTCCTCGTCATGATCGTCACGCTTTACTCGCCCCTGCCCTTCCTTCGTGTCCCCCCCTCCACCTGTACATGCGACCCTGCTCGCCTCACTCCCCTCGTATTCATTCCCCCCCTGTGCTCCTACTCCTCCTCATCCACCTCCTCCTCGTCTCCCTCCTCATCTTCCTCCCCATGCTCCGCGCCCTCCTCCCCAACCTCAGGGTCGGCGGCACCGGCCGTAAGGCCTTCGCAACATGTACACATGCATTTCGCGATCTGGGTCGTTGCTGTGGGCGAGACGAGCGTGTGCGGGGGGCGAATACGCTCTTGACACTTATTCTTCTCCTCCCCTTTTCCTCGTTCTTGGTGTCGTCGTCCTCCCTCCCCCCTTCTTTTCCTCTGACATGGGCGTTCTCCTCCATGTCTGCAGTGTTTTCTTATGCCCAGAAAGAACATCACTCACATACCCATATGTGCCGCCGTCTGGTGCCCATTCGATCAACCCCTTTCACCCCGCCATGTTTTATTTCTTCTTTCTTACCCCCGCTGGCGCAGCCGCCCGCGTGCCTAATTCGTGTACGAGTGTGCCATGGCACAAGTAAGCTCAAATTGGCCCTGGGGACCATCAGTTGAAGCGGGTATCGCGGTGTTATCTTTCAGCATTGAATCCAGCAAGTCATGGCGTTAGGCGATGACAAGTGGACTGACAGAAAAACAGCACCCGCTGTTTCCTGTCCGCATCTCGCCACTCCTTGCTTGCCTTTCCCCCCACGCCCCCCCAATGTGTTCTGCCGGCTTGCCCGTCCCTTCAGAAGGTTCGGGAGACTCCCAGAGACGTAAGATGGCCCACCACCACCACCACCACCGCAGAGCCGAGCGTCCGCAAGGACGCGTGGGCAGAAGAGCGCGCAATGGGCAGCCCTTCGGTACTTATTGAAAGAGGCACGGAAAACAAAGCGCCCCACGACATTGTTCAACGACGCAGGGAACACAAACAGATGAGGCGGCAAAAAACGCGGCTTTCAGGAGGGAAAGAAACACACAGACACAATGAATCGTCGACTCCCAGGAAAATATGGGAAAATATGGGAAGTGGGGGGGAAGACGAAAAAATCCAGAAAGTATGGGAAAACATGGGGAATGTTTTTACATGTGTGTGTTTATTTGCGTGTCCTTGGTCCCCTTGAACGTTTAAGACGGACGAATATGCGCTGCGCTAGGGCGAGAGTCACATTTTGGAAACCACCAGGCCTCCATCCGTGAAGCTGTTAAGAACCTTTAGGACGAATGCGCGCGGCGCTAGAGCGAGAGCTGCATGTTGAAAACTACCCGCCCTCAGATGCGAAACGGTTGCAAACGTTTAGGGCGAATGTGCGCGGCGCAAGCGCGAGAGTCACTTGTTAGCCAGCGGGGACCCTTCAGGTTTGCTGATTCTCGATGTCCTGTCTCCTCGCTCGCCCCTCCCGCTGACGTGACGTGCGGCATGTCCGGGCCTCCGCGTGCCCAGGCTGCGGCAGGCTCTGTCTTCTGTTGGGGGCGGCGGCACAGAACTACGTCGGGCCCGTCCCTCTACAGGAGGGATGCTCAACTATAGAAAAATAAAATCGTCTGGTAACCATTTTTTAAGTTTTTTTTTTTTTTTTTTTTTTTTTTGTTTTGTTTTTTTTTGTTTTTGCCATTTTGGATTATTTTTGTTTTTTTTTATTGTTTTTTTGTTGTTGTTTTATTTTTCGCCCAAAAGCCCCCTGCAGGGGGACGCCCGACTTCAGTATAACATCGTCTCCCGGAGACAGGAACAAAAGGCTTTGGGATTGGGGCCAGGACCAGAACTGGGCTTTGGGATTGGGGCCAGGACCAGAACCGGAGAGCAATCGGCGACGGAACCGGTAACACACAAGTGCTCCATGACCGGCAAGAAAACGGCACAGCGGAACTGGTGCAACAAGGGCCCTAGCTGGAAGCACTCTTATGTAGGCAATGCCGAGTCGCACAACTTGCGTCTGGATTGCCGCTCCTCTATTTTTATCTTCCTCGTTCGCTGCCCCCACTGAAGTGATGTGCGGCATGTCTGCTCTGGGTGTCTTCATGAGCGTGGGGGGTGCCCCTCCGACGGGGGTCCACCTCGCCTCGTCGTCGCGCCGCGACGGGGGTCGGAGCGCCCTTGGCGCGCGGTGGCTGCCCGCGACGGGGGTCGACATGGGGCTGTCGGCGGGGTTGACGCCCTTCCCGACGCTGATTGAGATACTCGGGTTAAGTCGGGCGTGCCCCCCCACAGGGGGATTTTCGACGAAAATAAGAAATACCCTAAAAATAGTAAAAAAATAATCCAAAAATAGTCTGGGGACTATTTTTTGACTATTTTTTGACCTTTTTGGAGTATTTTTGGGGCATCTTTTACTTTTCGTCGAAAATCCCCCTGTAGGGGGACACGCCCGACATCAGGCTGGCCATCTGTAGCACGCCGCGCGCATCCAGCCTTGACCTCTCACAGCACTGCGCCGGCCGCAGGCGAAGGGACGAAGCCTCGAGGGCCGGCGGCCCCCCCGCTCGAGGCTTACGGCGGCTCCCCCCGCGCCCGGCGTCCGGCCATGTCGAGCACCGTGCCGTACATCGGCAGCAAGATCAGCCTGGTGTCCAATTCCGACATCCGTGGGCCGCTCAAGTCGGGGGCGTCTTTCGGGGGGGGGATATGCTCAGGGGGGGAAGGGGTTCGAGGCTCCATTTTCGAGGTGTTCTGGCGTCTTCGTCGGTTTTCGGGGATGCTCCAGCCGCGTGATGCATTCCAGCGGCTACGCCTCGCCGAGGGCGTTTCGAAGGTGCCAGGATCGTACCGAAAGGCCATCCGATATCCGAGTTATAACCCGAAAGCCAGGGGGCAACGTTACGGGGGGATAGGCTCAGGGGAGTATGCATCGACTTCCAATCGCCCATTGACCGCCGACAGGGGCCTGATAGCCCACCCTGCCCTGGAAGGTGCTGATTTGTTATCTCGGCGATTCCAGCTGGATGTTCCCCGCCCCACCCCGAGCCTGTCCCTCTCTAAGCTGAAAGCTTATGAACTGACAACTCGCACCCACATGTATAATAACGACCCCCACATGTGTCAGGGTGGACTTCTGGAAATGCTATGAGTGCGTGTCGTTGGACGGGTATCCACCGCTCGAACGGGGATCGCCCTCGGTGTCCGACAACCTGCACCCATACTTATAGCGCAGCCTCAAATCACGAGTCGCGGGTCAGCCTGCTGAGAGTATGAGTATGTGTGGTGTCCGTTTGTCACAAGCGGCTGTCTGGAGTTTATACCGTGAGTATTTTCCCCACGTAGGTTTGTCGAAAGGAGTAGCTCAACCTATAGAGAACTGGTCCACTGCTGCCCTCCTCTATCTTGTCTTAAACTATGTAAATTGCTCCCTCTGCTATTGCAATGGCTTTCTCGGTAGAGCAAGAGTAGCGTAGAGCAGAGTAGAGTAGATCAGACTAGAGTAGATCAGAGTAGAGTTGGGTATGAGTAGAGTAGAGGAGAGTATATCGGGGTAGAGTTGAGTAGAGGAGAATAATAGTAGAGTCGAGTTAAGTATATCAGAGCATAATAAAGCAGAGCAGAGCACAGCTGAGTAGAGTAGAGTAGGGTAGATGGTATAGTAGAGTCGGTATTACAAAGTACAGTTGAATGGAGCAAAGTAGAGTATAGCAAAGTGGAGTAGAGTAGAGTGGATGAGCGTTTTCTGCAGTATGTCAGAGTAGGGCACAGTAGAGTCGGAGTATAGTCGAATAGAGTGCAGTAGGGTAGAGTAGGTCGGAGTAGAGTAGCGTAGAGTAGGTTAGGATAGGATCGGGTAGGGTAGGGCAGAGTAGAGCTGAGTATAGTATAATGTAATCTGGAGGGCGCCCTGGGGGGCGTTTGTGGGCTGGGTTCTCGCTCGCGTGGGCGGCACGGCGCGGACGTGTGCGTGAACGTCCTGGCGGGGCTGGACGTCGCGTGTGCGGGGTCGCTCCGCTGCCCGAGTCCTGGACGACGGAGGGTGGACGGCAGAGGCGTACGCTGCAGGCGTGCCCGCACGTCTGCGCTTGGGCCCTCGCCGGGTCGGGAGCTGCTCCGTCGTCTGCTGCAAGAGCGCGCGCGGCCGTGCTTCTCCCTCCCTCGCGCGTCCTTGTGCACGGCCCGGCACGGCCGCGCACGAACGTGCGCAGGCCGTCCCGGGCCTTTGTCTTCTGTTGGACGTCACGGAGCACGGAATCCTTTCCCAGGTGGCTGTGGCCCAGTGTGCTGAAAGACGAGGTCTTTTCACTGCTCGCTCGTGGATGATCGGGTTGAAGGAGGAGGAGGAGAAGGGGGAGGAAGAGGATAAGGAAGAGTACGTCGCCGAGGAGGGGCAGGAATGTGAGTGAGGCAGACCAGGAGGAAGAGGATGAGGAGGAAGAGGAGGAGGAGGAGGAGGAGGAGAAGGAATGGGAGTGAGGCAGAGCAGGGGGAAGAGGAGGAGGAGGAGGAGGAGGAGGAGGAGGAGGAGGAGGAGGACGGTGGAAGAAGGAGGAGGGCGGAAGGGAGGATGAGCAGGGAGAGGAGGAGGAGGAGGAGGAGGAGGAGAGGAGGAGGAAGAGGAAGAGGGGATGGGGGATGGGGAGGGGGGGGAGGAGGAGGAGGAGGAGGAGGAGGAGGAGGAGGAGGAGGAGGAGGAAGAGGAGGAGTAGATAGAGAAGTAGGTGGAATGGGAGTCGGAGTCAGAATCGGAACAACGACGGCGTAGTTATACACACAAGCCTCGCCCCCTGACCACGTAGTCCAACAGAGGAGGAGGAGGGGGAAAAGAGCATGACGAAGTTAGAAGGCGAGCAGGAGGAGGGCGGGGAACAGTAAGAGGAGGAGGAGTAGGAGGAGGAGGGGGAGGATGAGGAGGAGGAGGAGGAGGAGAAGGACGAGGGGGAGGAGAAGGCGGAACACAATGATGCGCATGAGAAAGAGGTACTGCTGCTTATGATGATGGTGATGATGATGATGATGATGTTGACGATGATGATGATGATGATGATGATGATTATGATGATGGTGATGATGATGATGCTGTTCATGATGATGATGACTATGTTGATGATGATGCTGATGCTGCTGCTGCTGATGATGGTGATGCTGATTCTGCTGCTCCTGATGATGATGACGATGATGATGATGATGATGATGATGATGATGGTGGTGGTGGTGGTGGTGGTGATGATGATGATGATGATGATGTTGTTGTTGTTGATGATGCCGCCCGCCGCCCGCTGCCCGTTCCGGGGAAGGATAACCCATCCCGTGGAATAATAATCTGTCGTCAAGACGAGACACCAGACAACACCGTGTCTCAGGAAGGAGGACCTGTGTGTGGAAGGAGAACCAGTTTCAAAAACCATACGAAGGAAAGTCCTTCCACAGGATGGAGACACTGTCTTCAGGGAAGAAACACTGTCTGCTGGAAGGCAAGACCTCACAACAAACCCTGCTCAGGAAAGAACAGCCGTCTGCAGGACGGAGCAATTTTCTTCGGGAAGGAGAAATCTTCTTCAGGGAGGAAACGCCTTACACAAAACCCTTCCTCAGGAAAACGTGCTTCGTCAGGAGTCGACTTTTTTCGGGAGGGGAAACCCCCTGCCAGGAAGGAACTACCGTCCAAAGCAGTTTCCCGAGGCCTCAGGAAGGAAGCCTTGCTCAGGAGATATCTTCTGTGCTCAAAGCCCTGTGCGTAACGCCTCCAGGACGTTTTTTTGTATGCCTGCCATGGGTTTCGCTGGCGTCCTGGACAGTTTCCCAGAGAACATGTTTTAACAAACTTATCTCGCCCCTCCTGGGGGCTCTCGTCCGACGTCTGAGGCTGCCGGGCAGGGTCCAAGCGGGTCGAGGCAAGGAGACGACCGCGTACTGGGGAGGGCGCGGGTCGGGCTCGGGGACAGGGGGGGGGGCACCACATTCGAGTCGGGCCTGTCCCTCCACGGGAGGAACAGCCCCAAAAAATAGCCAAACTCCTCGGGGGAGAAGTCTCCCAGTATCTGCCGGGTCTTTTTGGGTTTTTTTTTCCGTGCTCATTCTTCAGCTTTCGCCCAACCTCCGCCCGCCTGCAGGGGGACATGCCCGACCTCAGACTGCAGCTGCTGCGTGCGACCGGTCTCGGCCCCGCCGCCGTGCGCTCCCTCCCTGGGTGCGCACGGCCGCCCCGGGCGCTCTGCAGGGGGGTCCGGCTGACTCGACGCCCTGCCTCCCGCATTGCGTCCCGCGGGCCCCTGCTTCGCACCCGCCCACTCAGCTGCCTTTTCAGCCCTTCGTAGGCCATCTCACCTGCTCCCCTCCTGATAGTTATGCCTCCTCTTGCCTCCTCCCTGCTCCTGCAGCGTTGTGTTGCGACATGTGCGCCCCTGCTGCTAGATACCGCATGTTTCTGCCAGCAGCTAGTGAGTGCCGCAATAAGCTGACCGTCTCCTCGGCGAATCAGAGCGCAATTCCAAACAATAAAAAATCCCTCACTGCTCCCGCTGCACTGCCCCCCCCCCCCCCTCCCAGCCACCGCGACCGTGGGTCGAGGTCCGAGATGGGTCGAGGGAAGGAGCCGAGCACCAGAAGAGAGCACGAGCAAGGGCAGACTCTCGGAAGTTCGCGCGGACCGCCCCAAAGCTCACATTCGTGCTGCTGTTCTAGGCTCTCTCTCGTGGTCGACGCCGTGGGAGCTGTGCTTCTTTGCGCTCGGGTATGGGGTCCTGCTCGGAGCCATCGCCGTCGGAAACGTCGTACTTAAAGTTGTAGCCATTGTGCTCGGAGCCATGGCCAGCGTACGTATCATTCTTTGGTCTTTAGCGCGTAGCTGCCGTATCCGCCGTGCCTGTGCCCGGAGCCGCCGTGCCCGGGGCGGTAACCGCGGTACGTGGGGTCGTCTGTTTGGTAGGACGGGGGTAGATCAGGAACGAAAAAAGGACGTACACGTACGCGAATCCACGCTGTTTTCGAGATTTTGCATTGCGCGAATACTCATATCACGCGGCCGGTCTCGCGGGTCAAGGGGCCGTGTTCGCGTACATAGCTGGGCGCGTACGTCCTTTGTGGGCTCCCTAGTAGAGGGGAGGGGATGGTGGGAAGGTGGGCGAACGGACGCCGATGCCGCGGCCGGGAGCGGCTGCGCGCCGCGAGGGCGACGGCGGGGGGACCGTAGCCCCTAAGATGTGCAGGTGCTTGTTGAGAACTCGAACTTCCTGGGCTCACCTCAGCTCTGCTCTGTCGACGGCTTGGAGCTTCCACCAGTAGGCCAAAGCCTCATCGGATTGCCTTTGTTCCCGGAACCGCGTTGCTGCCCTTGTGTGGCTTGTCCGTTGCTTTGGGCGATAAACTCCTGAACCGTTCCTTCAAGATCTCATCAAACATGTGGTCACATTTGCAAGTGAGCGTATGAAACGAGGTCAGCCCCATATCCTCTCCTGTCATATCAGTCGCTGCCTCGAGCAGCGTAAATGCGAGGCCGTCGGGTTCACCCTTGAGCCCCGAATGGGAGTCGACCATCGACCCGAGATGAGTTCGTGAGCCAGCTCTCAAGAAACATAATTGCGTACTCTCGTTCTCGATGCAGAGCACAATCGTTTCCGGGGCATCTCCATCACGTGCCACTTCCGTATCGTTATGGTCTGGCCAGTCCGAGACGATGTGGATGACACCTTCGCTTGCTGGAACAGCTTCACTGTTGCAGAATGCGTCGGCAGCACTTTGAAAATTGCCAAACAGAAGAGAACAGAGACGGATGTCGCGTTGGACCTGCTGCTCCAAATACTCGACATCATGACCTGGGAAGTCTCCCTAACATCCCAACCCTTCAAAGCGAGTTGAAGCGGTTAGCCGGCCACCTGCCAGGAAACACGTTGACTGTATCTCGCGCGCCCGCTCCAGCAACGTTTCATTCACTTGGACTAGTGCGCTGCCTGGTGACAAACTCAACACAAGCTTCCAGGGGCGAAGCATTCTCTGAGATCATAGTATCGCGTTGCTTTGGGATCTCTTTCTATGCGGGAGCTCATCAGGCTGCTGCGTGGGCCGCGGGAACTTCGCCCTGCAATTGACTGATGCTGGTTGGTTTTCCTCAACGGCGCTCGGACATTGAGGCATGAAAATAGGCGCACCAGGGTTGAGAGCATGTGCTGACACGTTTGGGGCTTCAGAAGCGTATGACTGACCAGGTTCGAGCAACTGTGTCCGGCAGCATGACGAACAGCAACTCTTCGATCTCGCAATTTCCGACGCTTGTTTCGTCACGGTGGATTCGTTCCATACCTAGAATTCACAGGGACACACATCAATGCCGGGACAAGGTGAGACCGTAATTACGGGTGCAAAATGCTAGCAATGGAAGGGTTGCCTAAGCCAATCCAAAATTGCTTGGCTTGATCCACATTTTGATCCACAGCTTGAGCCAACATGGCTACGTTGGAAAGGTGGAAGGCGAGAGGAGAGAAGGTGGAAGGCATCTTGGTAGGAAGTTGGAAGGCGGGAAGAGGGCGAAGCCACTGAGGCTGGAGGAAGCATGAAAGGTGGAAGAGGGGAGAGGGGGAGGATGGGATGTGTACGACAGAGGAAGCAGGAGGGAGGGTGGAGAGGAGATACGGTGTAGGATATGGAGGAGACGGGGCGCGGAATTCAGGAGGATGAGGTTTATGAGGAGGATGCAGAGGATAGTGATGATGTTGATGATGATCATGATGATGAGGAGGAGGAGGAGAAACGGCCAGTCGTTTCCCGATTGTCTGGGCAGTCGGGCTGGCTTCGCCAAGGCTACGAGGGGATCTTGTACACGATCAACACCCAGGCGACCCCGTGTCGCTCGAAGCCGAATGGGGGGGGATCATGGGGGGACGAGGAAGGGGGGGCAGAAGGGAGAGGAAGACGAGGAGGAGGAGGAGGATGAGGATGAGGATGAGGAAGAGGAGGAGGAGTAGGAAGAGGAGGAGGAGGACCAGTGTAAACCCAAGAGTTATCAACGATGTTGGAAGTATCCCTCCCTGCAAGCTCCCTCTTCATAGGCCCCTACAGGTTCATTTCCATTGAGGGAACTGCCTCGTTGGAAGACAACCGTTTGAAGACCTTGAAGCATGCTAAAGCATTGTTCTCGGGAGTTCCACGCGCACGGGTCAACCTGACTCCTGCGCCCTGACGGTCTGGAATCGTGCCAGAACGCCATTTTTGGGACGTGAGCACCGCGAACCAACATACCTGTTGCACCCGCATAATCCTGAATCTTTCCAGGAAGCCTTTTTTTGGTACGTTGATCATGGGAATCCGTAGAACTCTTGTATATTTTAAATGATTGTGCGCGGCGCTAAGGCGAGAGCAACATTTTAATAAGGAGCCGCCTACAATCCGTGAAACTCTTGCACATTTTAAAACGGATGTACGCGGCGCTAAGGCGGGAGCCACATTTTGAAAACCACCCGCCCTCAATCCGTGAAGCTCTTGCAATTTTTTGAAACGACTATGCGCGGCGCTAAGGCGAGAGTCATGTTTTGAAAACTACTCACCCTAAGCCGTTAAATTCTTGCATTTGTTTAAACGAATGTGCGCGGGTCCAAGGCGAGAGCTACATTTTGAAAACGATCCGCCGTTCATTTGTAAAACTGTTGCCAGTATATAGCCTCAGAATCATGAATGGTGAGGCAGTCTCAGGCGAAACGCCCGGCCCGCCCTAAAAACTGGCCTCGGGGTGCGACAGGGAGAAGTTATTCAGAAGGAGAAGGAATGCAGGAGGAGGAGGAGGAGGAGGAGGAGGAGGAGGAGGAGGAGGAGGAGGAGGAGGAGGAGGAGGAGGAGGAGGAGGGGGAGGGGGAGGAGGAGGAGGAGGAGTCGGAGGAGGCGGAGGAGGCGGCGGAGGAGGAGGAGGAGGGGGAGGAGGAGGAGGAGGAGGAGGGGGAGGAGAAGGAGGAAAACGAGGAGTAGGAGGAGTGGCCAGGTGTGTGAAGCTCTCACGAGGTCCCGCGCATGAGTGTGAAGGGCTGCAGCCATGGTCATCCCCGCTGGCCATGCTTTACTGCTGCTCCCTCTAGCAGACCACCCCTTCCCCGCCTCCAATCCCACGGACTGCGAGCCTGGTCGGGTCGTGCATTCCCCTGGCAGTGGCTGAACTCATCATCGTCAGAAATATCCCAATCCCGACGAGAGTGTAAACTGGCCCTCTGAACTCCCTCCTCGATAGGGATAGGTGCAGTGAAACTAGAAGGTGTCGGCAGCCATCCCCACGCAGGAGGGGTAGGTTGGCTTGCGGGGCGACGGCTTCCTCTGTGTGGTTGGGGATGGCTTTACTTGTCCAGATGAGCCTTGGAGGTTCTGTCTCGTGCCTACCCCACTGTCTGCGACCACTTGCGAGCCCTACCGCTGCGGGTCCAATCGACGCTGTTGGGACACCCCCGCTGGGGCTAACTTGTCTTCTGAACCACCGCTGGTGTTTCAGAGATCTGGCCTGCAGGGGTCGGGCTTTTGTGTATCCGTCCACCTCTTGAGCAGGCAGGAGGAGGGGGCGAGGAGGCCGGGGAGGAGCAGCAGCGTCAGGATGCAAGGCTGAGGACGTGCCCCGTCCTGGGCAAGCCAGAAAGGAGTCTTCCACCGCAGTTGCCGCGCTCCTGCGGGCGGGCGAAGCCTGGGGCACACAGGTCCGGCAAGGAGCCAAGACGACTCCGGTCGGCAAAGATGCGCCGCCTCGTCGAGGCGCGCTTGTTCCCCGCTGTTCTCCCCGTGAGCTGGGCCCTACCCTCTTCCCCTCATTCTCCTCCTCCTTCCCTTCCTCCTCCATCTCCCCCCCGCCTCTCCTCTTCCTCCTTCCCCTTCCCCTTCTCCCCCTCTCTGTCTCTCCAGGCGGGGATCCCGGATTCTGGAGCGCTCCTCGGGTCTCCAGAGAATTCTAGAGGATACCTCAGGGTCCACATGATCCCGAGAGATCTCACAAATGATTCCCAACGATGCCAGAGCATGCATGCGTCGGCTGTAAGAGGATTCCAAAGGACTGCAGAAGGTCGCTTTGGACCCCGTCGAATTCCAGAGGAGTCCGGAAAGTTCCTCAGGATCCAGAAGGATTTCTCATGGTCGGGTGTTGCCAGAAGTGCCCCTGGCCCAAGGTGCCCCCAGCGTATCGCTCCATTTTGGATCCCCGAGGGCCCCCTGGGCCTCGTGAGGGGTGTCCCGGATGCCGTCTGGGCCAACCCGAGAATCTTGGGGGTACCTTAGGCCAGGGCTACTTCTAGCAACACCCGACATGGTTCCTCAGCAACCCGAAGGTTTCTTGATACTTCCTCGGGATTCTCGAAGGCGTGCGTGCCGGGTGCGCACGCGCAGTCGGCGCGCAGATTCGGCGCAGTGTTCGTGTAAGGTACGAGTGCAGTTTCTGCTTTTCCTGCTCGGGGGTGTCGTTGTGCTGCTTCGTGGTGTTCCTCCTCCTCCTCCTCCTCTTCCTCCTCCTCCTCCTCCTCCTCCTCCTCCTCCTCCTCCTCCCCCTCCTCCTCCTCCTCCGGTCGACGGTGCGCCAGCCTGGCCTTCACATCTGCGGGGAGTGCGGGGCAGGCGGCCCCAGGGCTGGGTGCGCCAGGCTGGCCGTTCCCTTGCTGCCGTCTCTCCACCTCTCTTGCTGTCTTTCCACCTTCGCACGCGGCAGCCTCGACTGGGCCCAAGGAGTCGACGATCGCGCTGCAGTCGGTCCGCTGCTGCGGCACGGAAGGCCGGAAGGCCAGCCTGCCGCCCACGCCGTGCGCACTCTGACAGCTTTGGGAGTGAGGTAAGGTGGGGGTAGCGAGGAGGAGGAGGAGGAGGAGGAGGAGGAGAAGGAGGAGGAGGAGGACAAGCGTTCGTGCTGTGTGTGTGTGTGTTTGTGTTTCTGTCTCTGTCTCTGTCTCTCTCTCTCTCGATCTCTCCCCCTCCTGCTTCTTCGCCGCCGCCACCACTGTTACCGCGGGGACGCCGCGCAGAGCGCCGCTGGACAGAGAGGATGACCCGAGCAATCCCAGCGCGCACCGCCGATGCCGCGGTGTGCTCTCCCGTCCCAGAGCCCCTCGTGGCACGAGTCAAGCCCGCGTGACAGCCAGCCGGCGCAAGGGTCCGCGCGGGCCCGCGCACGTGCGGCCGGATGGAGCGGGCGGGGGGCCGAGAGACGCATGCGGGTGCGCCGCCGCGAGACCACGATGTGTCAGAGGAGGAACAGGCGCAGGCGGACCGAGGTATGAGATCGAGGTCGGTTCGGGGAGGGTACCCGAAGGTTCTTCGTGCTTGTTGGATGTTCTTGTGCATCCTGGGGAAGGTGCCCTCGGATGTTCTGTGGGTTTTGGCCAGCGGAGGGTTTCATGTTCTTGAGGGATGCTCTTTTGTCCTACAACCCGCTGGATTCAATTGTGGAGACGGCAGGGATCGAGGGAGATGCGGTTGGCCACCCGTTAGACCGCGGGGCCCAGGGACAATGTTGGATTTAATACAGATGTGAGAGTTCCAGGTGCACCTTTGGGAGGATGAGGAAGAGGAGGAGGAGGAGGAGGAGGAGGAGGAGGAGGAGAGGAGGTGGAGATGGAGATGGAGGTGGAGGTGGAGATTGTGGCGGACGGGGAAGGTGGAGGCCGATCCGATGGTCGCAGCAGTGAGGCCGAGGCGGCAGGCGGGCGAGGACAGATGGGAAGCGTCGGGGACACACAAGTCGCGGCCATGCCCTCCTCTCGCCACCGCCAGTCCTAATGATCCATCGGGTTCTGGGAATGGCAGAACATCGGGAAAGGGGGAGTTTTGCACGACACCTGTGGGATATGGAGTTGCGCAGCTAGATGGACCTCGTCGAACGAACCAGGAAGCAGGAGGAGTACGATGTGGGAGAGGAGGATGTAGAGGCAGACGAGGCACTGGAGGAGGGTAATCGGTTGAAGGTGTAGGAGGTTGAGGAGGAGGAACATGAGCGGAACGGGATGGGCAACTGGGGTTGATGGAGGAGGATTCTGGTGATGATGATGCTGATACTGATGATGATGCTGTTGATGATGCTGCTGATGATGATGATGATGATGATGATGATGATGAGGATGATGATGATGATGTTTACATTGATGACATTGATGTCGATGCTGCTGCTGCTGCTGATGATGATGATGATGATGATGATGGTGACGACGATAATGGTGCTATGAGAGTGATGCTGCTGCTGATGAGGAGGAGGGTGAGTATGATGTTGATGGAGAAGAGGCAGGCGGATGAGGGTAATGAGCAAGAGCAATCCGACGACGAAGAGGAGCAATTTGAGGGGGAGGGGACGGAAGCATCGGCTGAGGCTGAGGCGGAGAAGGACGATTAGGGGGAGGAGGATGATGATAGGCAGAAGGATGAGCAGGGGCAGGAGGCACGAGGAGTTTGATGAGGCGGATAAGAATCAGGAGGGGTATGGTCACGCGGATGACGATGACAATGATGATGATGATGATGATGATGATGATGATGCTGACAATGATGATGACAATGATGTTGATGATGATGATGATGACGACAGTGATGATGCTGATGATGAGGATGCTGCTGATGATGACGAGTACGACGATGATGATGATGCTGATGATGGTGGTGGTGGTGATGACGATGACGACGGTGGCGATGATGCAGCTGCTGATGACGTCTCTGGCGACTATGCTGCTGCTGATGAGGTGATGATGAAGGTTATCCTGCTGATTCGGTGCTGCTGACGTCAACGATTTCATGTCGATGACGATGATGACGATGCTGATGATGATGCTGATGTTGATGATGATGATGATGAGGATGATGATGATGAGACGACGAGGATGATGATAATGATGGTGATGGTGATGATGATGCTGATGATGATGATGATGATGATGATGATGATCATGCCGATGGTGATATTGATACTGATAAGGATGATGGTGATGATGAGGATGGTGATTCTGACGAGAGTGATGATGTTGAAGCTGATGATGATGCTGATGATGATGATGATGATTATGATGATGATGCTGATGATGATGATGATGATGATGATGACGATGATGATGATGATGATAATGATGATGATGATTATTATGACGACGACGACGACGACGGTGATGCTGATGAAACTGCGGCTGATGACGTTACTGGCGATTCTGCTGCTGCTGATTATGGCGATGCGGTGGATACTGCTGATTTTGATGCTGCTGACGATGATGATGCTGATAGTGATGATGACGATGCTGATGCTGATGATGCTGTGGATGATGATGACGATGCATCTGCTGCTGATGATGCTGCTTCTACTGATGCTGATGATGAAGAGCATGATGATCTGGATGAATATGATGATTAGGATGATGAGTATGATAATGATTTTTGAGATGATGATGTTGATGATGCTGCTGATGATGATGATGGTGCTGACGATGATGATGATGATGATGATGATGATGATGATGTTGATGATGATGATGATGATTATGCTGATGATGCGGATGATGATGAGGTTGATGATGCTGCTGGTGATGCTGATGATGAATCTGCTGATGTTGATGGTGATGCTACATGGTTATGAGGGTGAGGATGCGGATTCTGATGATGATGCTGATGATGATGATGATGATGATGGTGATGATGATGACTTGTGCTTCTGATGATGATGGTGCAAGGTGAAGAAGTGCGTAGTGATGATGACGATGCTGGTGGTGATGATGATGCTGATGGTGTTGATGATGATGCTGATGATGTTGATTCTGATGATGATGATGATGATGATGATGATGATGATGATAATGATGATGGTGGTGGTGACTATGATGATGATGATGAGGAGGAGGAGAAGGAGGTTTGTCATCATGTTTGTGATTGTGCTTTGATTGGTGAGTTGTGCTGGTGATAATAATCACTATGCTCATGGTGATTGTGATGGTGATGATGCTGATGATGATGATGATGCTGATGAAGAAGCAGACGAGGCTGCAGCTGCTGCTGCTGATAATGATGCTGATGCTGATGATAACGACGG